TTGAGTTTTATGGCGCAGAGTTTCCGGCATGTGCTCCGAGACCAACATGCCATGCATCGAGAAATCCGAGCTACGACGACCATGGATCATAATCCCGACATGGGTGTCATCACCATGGCCGATGTTGAGTCATTATGAGACGGCATCAATCGGGAACAGTTTGCTTCTGCCAAAAGGAAAGCAGATTTAGAGATTGCAGTTATCAGGGGCTTTCTGGAAAATCTCGGCGGTCAGCGTCACTGGCTTCCACGCGCACCCAAGGATGGTCTGGCCAAGTTGAAGGGCGATGCGCGGCCTCTATAACAACGTTAGCAAACGGCCCACTGGAGAGAAGGAGGAAAGGGAACGGAGGGTGGCATATAGGCTGGCTACCGAATATTCCTCCGCCCAACACCCCATCGTCTCATGCGCCTCCTCCTACACTTGGGAAACGTTCCGCTTACTCGACCCAGCCTGCGATCGCATCGGCTCTTCCGCGTGTGCTTTCCTATACTGCTCTCCCCGTGAAGCAGTTCTCGGGTCAGCATGTCGTGCTGCACCGCCGCCTACAGCGCGCGACTTTGGCTTCCTGGTCGGGGCTTTCCTAGCCTGCGGAGCTTTGCCGCCCTAGGAGCCAGAACCAGGATTTTGGCTCGGCCAGCCCTGGCCCCCCCGGCTCAGGAGACGAGCAGCTAGACTTAGACGGCGAAGAGGAGGTCTACGACTGCGAGGAGCCCCGCGACACGGTGGGCGACAAGGAGGCCAGCTCGGGTGGATCTCCGGTTGGAGCGGCCGGTGATCCCCCGGCTGGTTCTCAAGCCCTATGAGTCATACCCTTGCCTCGTCCGCTAGAGGCTCAGCAATAGTTGCGCCTGCTCCTGGTTATCCCAGCGCGGCTTTCTTCGATCAGCTTCGAGAGCAGAACAGGGCGTGGAAGATCATGAGGAAGATCACAGCCGTGGATCGCCGGGCGCAGCGCCAGGTGCTTAAACCGCTGGCGAATCCCTGCAGCACCTCGAGAGGCTCTACGAAGCCTGCTTGGAAAGTAGGCCCTGGGCCGACGCAGAGGCAAAGCAGCAGTCTGAGACGCCGACGCGGCTCCAGGCTATGTCCGAGGCAAGGCCCAAGGCTGCGCTGGAAGGCCCAAGAGACGTGCTGCCACATCCTCGTCCGCCCAGCTACCCCCCGTTGCGGAATCTGTTGACGACGACGCGATCACTGACCCAGTCGCGACGACGCAGCCGCGCAGTTCAAAGCCCGCGCTTCCCAGGCCGAAGTACGTCGGATCCGTCGGTGTCTACATCCTGGTCCCCAGCGAGGAAGGCAGCATCTAAGTCCTGGCCCACCGTCGAAGCCGAAAGGTGGGATCTCCGCTAGCGATTGCTACGCCAGGTGGAAGGGTCGATCGGAGGGACTTGGATGTTGCCGAGAAGCAAGATCGGGGATTCGAATGCGCCGCCAGGTTCGCAGCCTGCTGGGAGCTCAGAAGAAGCTGGGCTGGATGTTTCCCAGATGCCTTGGCGGAGATACTGGCCGAGAGGACGACCAATCCTTCGCGCGTGAACTACGGTGTCTTTCTCGCGGGTTCTTCCCACAGAATTGGACCTCAGGCACGGCGCCGCAATGCAGTGGCGCACACAGGGCGTGACAACGTTCAGGGAGTCCCCGCAGGACACTACTACCACGTCTGAGTGGGCGTCGATGACATTCTTTTGAGAGGTGATCTACTCCCAGCGTATCAACGCCCGCCGTCGTGCATCGCGGACGCGGAAAAGCCCCGCGCCCAGCAGTTGCAGCAGGAGATGGCGGATACCGAGACGAAGCAAGCTCAGGGCGAGAGCAAGGGCGTTCTCCGACAGATACAAGAGCTGGGATCGCCACCTGCCGAACCTGAGCAAGACGAACGCTGACCTACCGTCGACCTGATCCACGACTTGGCGCTGAAGAGCCGAGTTATAGACAGACGCTGGATCGCCGAGATCATGATGAGGCCACTATTGTAGACAAGCGCTTGGCCGAGATGGTGGCGGTCCGTCATAAGTGCGAGACAGGCCTCATGTTTCGTGCGCTGGCGAACCTGCTGATGTCGAGGCGCGTCGACGAAGCCATCCAGATCGCCAACTCGTTTAACACTCCCGACGGAGGCGTCGCGAGAATCCCCCTCGAGGAAGCTGAGGGGGATCGCGACCACGCCGAGGCGGCAAACTATTTTGCAGCGTGCGCGGAAGATGAAGTCGCCCAAGGATCCAATTGTTTCTTCCCAATGGACCAGTTTGTTTGGCGGGACCTCAACGACCCACCAGTTTGGATCCCTGCAGTTTTGGATTGGGCCAACATCGTGAACGACGATGACCTGCCGGAGATTGGCGATAATCTTTGGCGCGAGCCAGAAAGAGAGGAAGTTAATCAATGACAGTTGGGGCGGGCTGGTGACAGACGGCGATCGCGCAATTCAGGCCGGCATGGGGCGGGCTACGGAAACGATTCTCCATGGACATGGACTGGGCGAGGAGGTGCAGCTCCTTTTTGCCAGTTTATGGGAGGTGTCGCATGCCGAGGAGACGCTGATAGCATGCTTGGGACCTCCCCCACCAACTGGCGAAGCCATCAAGGTGGCCACGACAGCCATCGCGACCCTCGAACAATACCCCTCCAACCCGCTGCTGGAGAAGTCTCCAGTGGAAACGGCCCGGTCACTCTTGGGCCCGCCGAAAATTCCGTCAGCGCACGTTGGGGGCGAAACTGCCAGCTTGTCAGGAGGAACCGACAAGCCGTCGAGAAGATGACGAGCCCTGCCTGGATGTCTTGCCCCACGGTCGACGCGGCGAAGGACAACGCGATCGATGCCCTCCGTCACTGCGGTTGCTTTGGGCGCTGTGGCGCTCGAGGTTCACTCTGGGATGTCCAAATGGCGGATGGATCCAGTTTTGCTCGGGGGCGCCGGTCGTCTTGGACCGACTGACCCCACGGCTGCAGCCCGATCGCATGCCAGACAAATCAATGGTGGCTCATTGATATGGCATTCACGAGTGTCGGGGATTTGATCTGGGACCTCTCTCTCTCGCCGGTATCAAGGCTCCGAACTCCAGACCGCGCGCCGCGGCACCAACCTGGGAGCCCTTGCTTTTATTTGGAGTGGGCATGGGATATACAAGCCTAGGCCGGGACCTATCACGGACACTGTCTTCGGTGTTTATTGTGAAGGAGAACATCGCCGCAGCAGCTGTGCCCACTACATGGTTCACATGTCGTTTGGTGTGGGCCCGGAGATGAATCTGCATGCTTGTATCTTCGAGATGCAGGTGGTCCGCGAGCGACGTGCCAACTGCCCTTAGGTGCACGTTCACAGGCATTGGTGCTTGGATGAAGGCTGCAAATGGGTCATCAAGCTCTGGACCCATGCTTCCACGATGGGGGGTCTGCAACGAGTTCAAGAACAAGGGGCCTGTCTTTGGATGGCGCGAGGTCTGGAATCGCACGGCGAGGATGCACATAGTGGAAGGGTTTTCTCATTCAACTTGCGTTTCCGAGTGCGCGCGATTTTTTGGATGGCCCGATCCAGGATTCCGCTTTGAAGATGGCGGAGTTTGGGTCTCTTCGTCCCGCGCTTGTTCCCCGTAGAGAAGAGACAGATGGTTCCGCAATGGGCCATCGAGCTCAGTGCAGCAGCCCGCTTCCTGGCGCGGACTGGTACTCGTTATTGGCCGGGCAACGCTTAGCCGAGGAGTCTCATGGCCGAGATGGGGAACGTTGCGGGCTTGTCAGGAACTGATCATAGTGAGGTGGGTGACAATCCCTGGGGAGACCTTTCCTAGAGGTGCTCCCAAGGTCTCTGTGCTCGCGTGGCTGAAGCGGCCGCATGTCACGGATGACTCTGGGAGGATTGTCGAGTCTATGGTATCATGAGCGTCTACATCTACAGCGGCCACGACAGGTATAAGACGATCAAGGTGAGCTGCGGCTTCGTCTACGCTTCGACCAGAAAAGATAGGAATTGTGTTTGTTGTTAGATGTAATTCAGCCTCTCCTCCTCCTGCGCCTCTGTCTCACCTCCCTTGCCCTGCCGCTGCCCTAGTTCGGAGGGCCCTTGAGTTACTCGGCGCGCTGGCCGGGGCCGTGCGCGAGCCCCCGTACGAGGACAGAGCACGTGCTCTCTCTCAGCATTGGTCCTCCTACTTGTTGTTCGCGGCTTTTTGTATTCCATACAGTTACTCTTGGGCCGTCCCTGAGTGTTTTTTTTTCCGAAGTGACGATTTCCCTGAGCCATTTGGGGCCCGAAGTGACGATTTCCGGTCAATCTGCTGGCTCTTCGATAGCTGTCTGGGAGGCATATTGTGGTTGTGGAATTGGGCGTGGGCCTTTTCCGGTCTGTTATCCGATGCCACATAGCAAATATCATGCGCACGTATGTAAGAAGATTTTTGTCTCACGCACTCAGTCTCCCCCCTCTCTGTGTTTGTTTTCCCTCCCTCTCTCTTTCACTATTGTTCTGCATGTGTGCATATATGCAAATAGATATACGTATATATATATATGTATATATATGTATGTATCTATATGTATTATCATATTTACATATACCTATAGACATGTGTGTGTGTGCCAATGTACGCCCGTGACTAGGTCCCGCCCGGCCTAAGGGCGGCCCCATTGTTTCTCCCTGGGGGTCCGGGGCCCGCTGTGGAGGATGTGTGTGATTTGGAGAATCTGTCAGCCTCGAGGGGTTTTGAAAAGGGCCCAGGAGGATCCCCACAGACCGCGAAGACGGGCCAAGGCCTGCTTGTGGACGCTGTTACCCCGCATCCCCAGTCCTGCTCAGTTCCCCCTCTTCCTACTTAATGGAGGATGACGATTAATAAATGACCGGGGGTCGTGTTCACGCGGCGGCGCCCGGGATGACGATTAGAAAAAACCGGCCGCGGGTTGGATTTTTTTTTATCGTTCTTCTCCAGTCAGAAAATTCTGCAGAGATTGCAGAAAACTATTTTTTAATCGTTCCCCCCCATTTTTTCATCGTCATCCCGCATTATCGTCTCCCCTCTCCTCCTCCCAATGACGCTGGTCGGAGCTCGGTGGCCCATGGCCTGATGCTGCCGAGTCGCCCCGTAGACTGGCGACTGCATCTATCTATCCGTGCCATCGGATGTGCTCCATAGTCCTCTCGACCGCCCAGCCTCGCGTGCTCCTTCTGCTCAGCCTGTGATGGAGGCTGCGTTGTTCGGTCTGGGCACATCGGCGACGGCAGGGTGCGTCAGTCGGCGCGCCGCTCTGCTGGCACCTGGCAGTGCCCAGCACGCAGTGCGAGGCAGCTGCAGCCAGCCTGACCTCGGCGCGCACGTCGCGTCGATTTCGCAATACAATATTCTATGGTGGGGTGCCCCTATTATCATATGCTTCTCTTATGTCACACTGGTATGTTCTGATGTGGAGTCTGGTATGCTCCTTATTATCTGTGCTTCTTATGGTCGATGTCTGTTCTGGTAGGTTCACTTCTGTCATCCTATTACGTAGTACGTTCTGGCCTGCCCTGCGCCGTGGGAACGGTGGTCTGGCATGATAGGTTCCCTCGGGCTATGTTATGGTATGCTATGGTTGTGATGCTGTTGACGCTACGTCGTGATATGCTCATGAACGATATATGAGCATTACGTTCTGTTCTGATAGACCTTCTCCTATCCTCCTGTTCTGTGGATGGATAGACCTCTGATCGACCTCTGATAGACCTTCTCCTATTCTCCTACAGATAGAGGTGGAGGATAATAAGGAGTTCTTATCTATGAGGAGGAGGTTGTTCTGTTTAGATGCACTTCCGCATTAGAATGAGCTCGTGTATGCTGCGGTACATGCGCTGCAGTCGTTGCGCTGTTATGGTAAGGGGTGCCCGATTATGCGTTGCGTCCTGCTCTGTCCCGCCGCAACATGTAAAGGTTTGACCCGTTACGCAAAGCTCAGATTTGCTATTCCATCTCATGGAGTACAGCGCGCGTTCGTGCTATGGTGTGTCATGTAGTGGGGTGCTATGTTCCGCGTTTCGTTGGTGTGATATTTTTATGATATGTCATGAAATGTGATGGTATGATCCGTCCTGTGCTGTCCGCTGATGTTATGTTATTGTATGCCAACTCTTGCTATGCTTCGCTCTTATCAGCTGCGGTCTGGCATGACGGGTATGTTATGTCATGGTATGTGTTTGATGATCGGATCTCTCATAACATGTGCTGTTATGTTGTTATGTTTAATGGCATGCTTCGACACATCCTGACATGCTCTGTTCTGGTGTGCTGATCTGCCATGTTACGTTATGCTGTGTAATCACATGTCATGTAGCGCTCTCGAACTTTCGGCGGTTTCATTGTGTGGTATTTCATGGTACTGTATGACATGATACGTTATGGTCGATGAGCCATTGTATGTTTGGTTATGCGATATCAGAAAGCACGTGTTCTACCGCTGCTGGCGGAAAAACGGGGGGGGGGGGTCACTGGGGGTCCCTAACCCGTCCACCCCCGCTCCTTCTCGAAAACCGGGGGGGGGGGGTCATTACCATTTCGAACTCCCCCCCCTCCAGGCCATCAAGAAAAGGGGGGGGGGTCACTACCGGTTCGAACACCCCCCCACCCCACCCCCTCGAAAACTTGGGGGGGTCACTACTGGTTCGAACCCCCTCCCCACCCCCCCCTCGAAAACCGGGGGGGGTCACTACCGGTTCGACCCCCCCCCCTTCGCCGCTTGACAAACGATGCCCGCTCCTCGGGACAGTTGGAGAATGGTGGAGATGTTGGGACAGTGGTGGGAACGGTGGTGGTGGGGAGAGTGGTGCGAGGACAGCGGGACAGTGGTGCGGACAGTGGTGGGGACGGGTGGTGATGGGGTCAGTGGTGAGGGGACAGCGGGACAGTGGTGGGGACAGTGGGACAGTGGTGGGGACGGTAGTGGTGGGGACGGTGGTGAAGACGGTGGTGCGGACAGTGGTGGGACAGTAGTACAGTGGGGAAAGTTGTGGGGACAGTGGCAGCACAGTGGGACAGCGGCGGGGACAGTGGGACAGTGGTGGGAACAGTGGGACAGAGGTGGGGACCGTGCGGAAAGTGGGGAGAGTGGGATTTTGGTGGGACAATGGCGGGGAGAGTGGGGACAGTGAGACACTGGTGGGGGCACTGGTGGGGACAGCGGGGACAATGGTGGGAACAGAGGGACAGTGGGACAGTGGTGGGGAGGGTGGTGGCGGGGACAGTGGTGTGGGGACAGTGGGAATGTGGTGGAAACAGTGGGACAGTGGAGGGTACAGTGGTGGTGGCGACAGTGGTGAGGGCGGTGGCGAGGACGGCGGTGGGATAATGGGACAGAGGTGCACTAGGGACAGTGGTGGGGACAGTGGGAACAGTGGGGACTGTGGGACAGTGGTGGGGACGGTGGTGGTGGGGACAGTGGTGTGGGGACAGTGGGAATGTGGTGGAAACAGTGGGACAGTGGAGGGTACAGTGGTGGTGGCGACAGTGGTGAGGGCGGTGGCGAGGACGGCGGTGGGATAATGGGTCAGAGGTACAGTAGGGATAGTGGTGGGGACAGTGGGGACAGTGGTGGGAACAGTGGGACAGCTCAGTGGGACAGCGGCGGGGACAGTGGGACAGTGGGACAGTGAAGACAGTGGGACAGTTGTTGGGGCCGTGGAGAAAGTGGGGAGTGGAACTGTGGTGGGAAGAGTGGTGGGGACAGTGGGGACAGTGCGACAGTGGTGGGGGCACTGGTGAGGACAGTGGTGACGGTGGTGGGAATAGTGGGGACAGTGGTGGTGAGGACAGTGGTGCTGGGGACAGCAGTGGGGGATGTGGTGCGGACGGTGGTAGGGACCCAGAGTTTTTTGCTGGCGGTAAGCGTTGGGGGGGGGAGGGGTTCGAACCGACAGTGACCCCCCATCGGTTTTCGAGGGGAGGGGAGAGTTCGAACCAGTAGTGCCCCCCCCCCCCCCGGTTTTCGAGGGGGGGAGGGGAGGGGGGTTCGAACCTGTAGTGACCCCCCCCCCGTTTTCGAGAGGGGGGGAGGGTTCGAACCGGTAGTGACCCTCCTTGGTTTTCGGAGGGGGGGAGGGAGGCTTCGAACCGGTAGTGACCCCTCTCTGGTTTTCTGGGGGGGGGTTCGAACCGGTATAGTGACCCCCCCCATTTTCCGGAGGGGTGGGGGGGGGGAGGTTAGGGGAGGGGGGGGTTTTGCCGGGGGGAAGTGGGGGGGGGGTCCAGCAGGGGGGGGGGATTTTCGGGGGGGGGGGGGACCCCTGGGTTCCGGAGGAAGAGGGGGGGAATTTTCCACAGTGAAGCGGCGGTGGATCACGCTCTCTCCGATATCCTGATATGCCGTGATGTCTTGTTTTACGCCATCTTACTTATTTTCCGTTCTGCCATTGTATACGTTGTCATGATCTGTTCCTGCTAGGGCGTAAGATGTGAAATGGTCTTCTGTATGATCGAGTGTGTCGTCGCATGCTTTGCTATGCTGTAGTATCGCTGTAGTGAGCTCTGCTATGTGATGCTGCGTGATGTTGTGCTCTGCTGTGTCATGATAGGTTCTGTTATGCTGTGCTCTATATCCTGTAATGTTATGCCCATCTCTGTCAGGCTCTGTCGTGTTCGTCGTCGGCGCGAGGCGGGCGTCTCGGGGGATACTCGGCGGACCTGGGGATCTGGCGGCCGCGGTGTACAGAGGAGTGGCCGGGGTCGGCGCGAGGTGGGCGTCTCGGGGGCGTTCCGTGGACCTGGGGATCTGGCGGCCGCGGTATGCAGAATGGCCGGGTCGACGCGAGGCGGGAGTCTCCGGAGATTCTCTCGGTGGATTCGGAGGTCTGGTGGCCGCGGTGTGCAGGGTGGTCAGGCCGAGAGGTCTGTCCGTAAAATCAAACGACCCCAACCTGTCAGGTGGGAAACCAGTTGCAGGCGAGAGGGCCGGATGGTTGCGAGAGCAACAAGCAAGCAAGCAAGCCGTGCATCATGAAGACGCGTAGGCAGAGAGATGACTAAAAAATTATGGAGGTACGCCAAACGCGTCCCGGAAGCAGTCCGCCAAACGCGCTGCGAAAACGATGGTGTGACGCAACGGCCTGCTTTCATGCGTGAAGAAGCCTCATCGCGTACACTTCGTGTGCCCACTGCTGTCTTGGGCGGCCTCTGCGCCGGCGAAGAGCCCAGTCCTTTGGGGTACCGTCTGCTTCGCATACGAGCTGCTTCACCAGGGAATGGCCTGGCTGCGCTGCGATTTTTCGGTACAGGCTGACTTGCTTGTCGTGTAATATCTGCGATAATGGTTTGGAGCCTGCCCTCTCCAACACTGTTGCGTTAGAAATGCGCGAATAATACGAATGCGGGATACCCATGATTTGTCGTAAGCACCTGCAATGAAAAGCGTCTAAACGATCTCTGTCCGCCTTGAGAAGCCACAAGGAATCTAAAGAGTATAGAAGCTTGCTGACCACACAACTGGAATATATGTCAAGCTTTCTGCTTTTACCAATTGCTGCGTGCGCCCAAAGTTTCTGTAGCTGCTTGAATGTGTTCGTGCTTTCGCCAATGCGGCGGGATAACTCATGCTTTGCCCGCCCATCGCAAGACACGATCCCACCCAAGTAGACGGCGTCCCTGACGTTCTTCACCGGCTCGCCCGTGGGCATTCTAATCGTATCTGCACATCCGACTTGGATTTGTACCGTCTTGTCCCAATTCATTTCCATGCCATATTTTTGCCCTTCCAGAATGATCGCCTCCAACATAACATGTAAATTGGATATATGTTTGGATACAAGCAAAGTGTCGTCAGCGTAGAGGATATCACGGGTAACAATATATTCGGGCTCGCTTTCCAGAGCCAGAGGAGTAAAGGCGTCGTGCAGCATGACACTTTGTACTGCTACAAAAAGGTATGGTGACAAGGGACACCCCTGAGCGATGCCTGAGCGTTGTTGCCTTTCACTGGAGCGCCCACAATGGTCCACGATGGTGAAAAACCGCTCTGAATAGATGCCTCGGATCATGTCCACCATAGGGGATGGGACGCCGAAGCGTTCGAGGGCTTTGCAAAGACAGTCCGGCTTGAGGCGGTCGAAAGCTTTTGCCCAATCCAGCAACACCAGTATGATTCCATCTCCTTTGTTTTGATACGCTGCGTCCACCATCCTCCTGATAAGCATGAGGGCGTCTGATGTACCACGCTTTGGACGGAAGCCGAACTGGGATTCTCGCATGCGTCCTTCGGCTCCTCCTTGCACTAGCCGGTTGTGTATCATTGTTGCCAAAGCCTTGTACCCCACAGCTAACAAGGAGATGGGGCGGTAGTTGCTGGGGAGCGTGGCGTCGCCCTTCTTGAAAAGGAGGGACACGTTCGCTGTTCTCCATGCTTTCGGCAAGCCTTT